GACAACCACCTAGTCAGCAAGGGCGCAACACGGATATTCCCAGGTACATGGACTTTGGCACTGAGAGAAGACAAATCCGAGCGGAACCGGTTCGGCGTTCGGTAGAAGCAACTTACATAAGATGGCTATGCCCTCATTCCTTTCGACCGTCTCCTGGAAATAACGTGGATAATACGCAAAACAGCATCGGCCACAGTTAGCCGGGCGAAAGCGAGGGTTGGGCCTTGGTAAGCAACGGCAAAGAGATGGCCGCCGTCAACGGCTCGCGCAGCCCACGTGAAGACCCAGGAGGGACACTTCGATCAATTGGCCAATTGACATGCCTCTGACCCGCCAGAGCCCCTCGGCTTGCCTCGGTCCAGTCCCTCTTCCCCTCAGACGTGGGCCACTTACGGGGGGTCTCCGTGTCCCGCAGCCAGTGAGGGGGCACGGATAGTGAGCAACGAGCTCCTCAGTGAGGTCAACCCGCACTGCCCGCGCTGCCCGCTACCCGCTAATCGTGGAGGAGGAAGGTGGGAAAAGCTGGGGTCCCGCCCCCGTATCCCCCACTGCCACTGCACTAGAATGCTCCTCGTCTGGCAATAACGGCAAGGCGAATGTGCCCGTGGACTGAAAACCTACCAGCCACCGTCGGTATGGGTACCCGTACTGCTATTCAGTTGAAAGCATTAGGGAAACAGGTACTTATCTCAGTGGAAGTGTTTTGCAGTGAGAGACCCGTAACATGCACAGAAACACCCCGAGTGAGCTCCCATGCATGTTGCTCCGGTACAAGCATGGCAACCCCCTTGGGGCGCGTCAATGCTCCTGGCCCAGGCTTCTCCAACCTCGGGCTAAACTCATGGTCTGTCTCGGCCTAAGGTAACGTAGGTAAGGTAAGCTGTGTCGGCCATGTACCGTACGCCGCCTCCAAGAGCTTCCCGGAGCATATTTGTCTCTTTTCTCGTCCTCCAAATCTTCCACCGCCGCCGCATCTTCCTCCCAAATCATAACCATCCAGCTGGACAATTCAATCTGTTGACCTAGCCAGCCGTGACATAGCAGGTCTGATACCAGTCAAGCTCTTTTACATAGGGCTGCTTCTTACCCGTCACTTTCACCCCTCTAAATACCCCTCCTTCACTCCTCTTCTCTCCCTTGAGCTTCCCCGCGACCGGCTAGACAATGGCGATGAACGTCACGCGAAGCACCAGAGCTCTGGGAGCTCTGCGGGTATGTTGAGAAGCCCTTACCGAGCTTCGCTCAACTTCAAAACACTCATGGCTAACTCGAACAAGCCCCTGGCAGCTCGCTGTGCTCTCAATGCCCGCCAGTACTCCTCTTCTTCCGAACCAGACCTCAAGACCACCCTCAAACAGGTCATCCCCGCCAAGCGGGAGCTCCTGAAGAAGGTCAAGGCCCACTCCGACAAGGTCATTGGCGAGGTCAAGGTCGAGAACACCCTCGGCGGCATGCGCGGTCTCAAGGCCATGGTTTGGGAGGGTTCAGTCCTCGACGCGAACGAGGGCATTCGCTTCCACGGAAGAACCATCAAGGACTGCCAAAAGGAGCTCCCCAAGGGAAAGACGGGAACAGAGATGCTTCCCGAGGCCATGTTCTGGCTTCTTCTGACCGGTCAGGTCCCCTCCACAAACCAAGTTCGCAAGTTCTCTCGCGAGCTCGCCGAACAGGCTCAGCTTCCCGCTTTCGTCAACAAGATGCTCGACGACTTCCCCACAGACCTGCACCCAATGACCCAGTTCGCCATCGCCGTCTCTTCCCTAAACTACACTTCCAAATTCGCCAAGGCTTACGAGCAGGGTCTCAACAAGGCTGACTACTGGGAGCCCACCTTCGACGACGCCATCTCTCTACTGGCCAAGCTTCCCACCATTGCCGCCAAGATCTACCAGAACTCCTACAAGGGCGGCGGTGCCCTCCCTGCCGAGGTCGACCTCGAGCAGGATTGGTCTTACAACTTCGCTGCTATGCTTGGTAAGGGTGGCAAGAAGAACGAGAATTTCCAGGATCTTCTGAGGCTCTACCTCGCACTCCACGGTGACCACGAGGGAGGCAACGTCTCCGCCCACGCCACCCACTTGGTTGGCAGCGCTCTCAGCGATGTCTTCCTCAGCTACAGCGCCGGTCTGCAGGGTCTTGCCGGACCTCTACACGGGTGAGTTGACCAATGTTGCATCCGCAATCAGTAGCTAACAGGAGACAGACTCGCCGCTCAAGAGGTTCTCCGATGGATCCTCCAGATGAAGGACAACATCCCCAAATCCTACTCCGACAAGGACGTCAACGACTACCTGTGGTCCACTCTCAACTCCGGCAGAGTCGTTCCTGGATACGGCCACGCCGTTCTCCGCAAGCCCGACCCTCGTTTCGAGGCCCTGATGGACTATGCCGCCGCGCGACCCGAGATTGCTCAGGACCCAGTCTTCCAGCTGGTGGAGAAGAACAGCCGCATCGCTCCTGAGGTCCTCAAGAAGCACGGCAAGACCAAGAACCCCTACCCCAACGTCGACTCCAGCTCCGGTGTCCTCTTCCACCACTACGGCTTCCACGAGACGCTTTACTACACCGCCACCTTTGGCGTCTCTCGTGGTCTTGGCCCCCTTGCACAGCTCATCTGGGACCGCGCTCTCGGCCTGCCCATTGAGCGTCCCAAGAGCATCAACTTGGAGGGCATCCTCAAGCAGGTTGAGGGTGCTTAAGGACGGGAATGAAGAAATATGAGTGAACGTGGAAAAGTCTTCCTAAAATGAATCACGTAAAGTCATGCTATCTAGATCTAGCCGGAGTTCACTGTAAAGTTTGAATTGGATGTTACTCAATACGCCGGCGTATGCTACCATGCGACCCGCATCTCCAGATTAAAGGAGGTTCTCGACTGACCCATCCACAATTGCTATTGATGCATAAGAGCGTAGAGGGTTAGAGCAATAGTCCAGTCCCCTCGTGGCCAGTCACTGCAATGCCACTTGGCATAAAATATGGACGTAGCCATCAACTGTTGGGTGTACGTAAATGAATCCACGAGGGTCACCTGATGGTTTTGGCCCCATTCGACATAGTGGACACCACGACAGACCTGATATTACCTGCATCTCGTGTTGGGGCCTCCGGTTCAGCTTCACGCAACTTAATATCGAGAGTATATTTGCCAGACGAACACGGCCTCGGAGTTGATTGTCAGTAGCAATTCAGCCTGTAAGCTGAGACCATCGAGGCGCTACCGTGCGGCTGGGCTCATATTATCTGGCGAAGTCGGAACGGTCATTGCTATTAACCGGGCTCGCCCAATAAGACTGATCCTCGGTACGCGCCGGATATTCAGGGTCCTCCTACTGAATACGGTTAGTATGGAGCTTCAATCTTTGGCGCTGGGCGGTATCACCGTTCGAACTCCCGGTTGGAACATAGGGTTTGTTAAGTATCCATCACAGGTCGTATGAGAGATATCCATCAACTACTCTGAGGAGCACCGGCAGGTCAGACTCATAATGCCGCACCTCTGTGACCCAATGCTCCAAACAGGCTCCAATGAAGACTGGGGAGAAAAGAAATAACTAGAAACTCTTCCATGTAAGAGGCACATTGATAGATCAAATCGCACACCATTCCAGGTTTCAAACAGCCTTCTCATTATTCGATCTTGAAGATAACAGTACGGAAGCACCCCTTCTCATGAGACGCTCATGCATGTTAGAAAGGTCTTCAATAGTCTCGGGCGTTTCTGCAAGCTCCAGGGAATAGCGGTTTTGGTTCAATTTCGATTCATTTGCATCCTTTCAACCGCAAATTGGGCGACATTCTGTTGCAGCATGACCAATTGGAAGTGCTGAGGCCTTTATGGTACAACAGTACGGACACTAAAATAGACAAGCGTCAATAGAATTTGGTAAAGATTGAAGTTAACGTATGAGAATCAGATGGGCCTTTTCTCATGCAGTAGTGGCATTGATTCGTGCCGCGAACCTCGTATCGTGACCCGGACCCTCGCTCTTTCACTTGGTCCTTGTCAACGACACCAGAAGAGTCTTCTTTATTGGAGTCAATAACGCTGCTTCTTGAGAATCTAGCAGTATCATCCTACGTATAAATAAGCAGGTAGCTCCGGTGTTTCTCATCACGCAGCAATAGCACCACCTCCATCCTTGATCCCCATCGCATCATTTGACACTCATAATCACAATGAAGAACTTCCTCTTGTTTCTTCTTCCCGTTCTCGCCACTGCTACGCCCCTGGGGCCGACAGGCGTCTCGGACACCCCCGACCCCAAAGAGATTCAGATCGTCGGCTCCAGCTTCTCCGGCAGCGGTTGCCCCCAGGGCTCCGTCTCGACCACAATCTCCCCTGACCGCACCGTCATCACCTTTGGCTTCGACCTTTTCCAGACCTACATTGGCCCTGGGCTCTCCATCGCCGACCGTACCAAGAACTGCGCCCTCCATCTTAGTCTCAAGTACCCTGGTGGCTTCCAGTTCGCCGTCGTGGAGAGCACCTATCACGGCTACGCCCAGCTCGACGAGGGAGTCACTGGGACGTTCTTCTCCACCTACTTCTTCTCTCAAGATGCCTCATCCACGACCACCACTCAGACCTCCATCTCTGGCGGGGGCATCTGGAAAGATGGACAGGTGTACACCAAGCAGGATAGCATCCCGACTGCATCGATTATCTGGGCCCCATGCGGTGCAACGGGCATTCTCAACGTCAACAACCGCATCGCACTGACTTCCAAGAATGCGACGTCTTATGGTGCCATCACTGACGATGACGCTACCGTTGCCTTTACCCAGCAGGTCAACGTAAAGTGGCAAGCTTGCAAGGCCTGATCAATTAAATGACTGATCAACCAAGTCAGACGACGTAAAATCAACTTCATCGAGACAATAAGCAGTTGGGATGTTTTCTTTGATGTTATTCGGTACTAGTTCATAGTCAAGATGCGAATTTCAAGTCAATCAAGCCTGTATACGAAGCCAACACCAGATCCCCAATGTGATGAAACTCACGACCTTTCTTCAAGATATTTGCCCAGTTTTTCCAAGCCTTCCTTCAACAAATCTGTGCGACACACATATCCGAACCGCATCTGCCCCTCAAACTCGACCCCTTGCCCGAAGCAGGTTGAGCCAGGCATGACAAGAACACCGGTGGCCTTTAGAATCTCCAGGCAGAAATCGGCATCGTTCACAAGCTTGCCGTTTCTCTTGAAACCAATCATGGCAGTGGTGCCAGCAGTGGGTTTGATCTCCCAGAAGCAGGAAGAACTGTGCTTGTTGATGAAATCCTCAACGAGAGCAAGGTTGGTTCTCGCAAGCTCAATGTTCCTCTTCAGAAGGTTCGGCCTCACCGCATCTGAGAGCGCGTAACCTGCCACTCTGTCGTCCAGTTGCGAAACGCTGATTGTGGTGTAGTTACGAGCGCTCTTGATGGCGTCGATGATGGCTGGGTCTCTGGACGCAATCCACCCCAATCAGATGCCTGCGAGAGAAAATGCCTTGGACATACTAGATGTGGAGACCGTCTTCTCATATCCCAGGGACAGGATGGATGGGGGAACGGGTTCCCCCTCAGGCAGGCTGTGGAATAGAGGGCGGTAGACCTCGTCCGCCATGACGATGATGCCCCTAGCTTTGGCGAAGTCGATAATGTCAAGCAGGACTGGCTTTGGCGTTGTCGCTCCAGTAGGGTTGTTTGGGTTGTTAATGATGATCATCTGGTGAGATGTTAGCTTAGCTGCCAATTGATCGCTCGTGATTCAAACCTTTGTGTTCTTTTGAACCAAACCCTCAAGCTCCTTAACGTCGGGAATGTATCGGTTTTCTGGCTTCGTCTTCCACAGAGTGACCTCTGCCCCAAGGCTCTTGGGGACTTCGTAAAGCTGTTGGTACGTGGGGTAGATGCAGATGACATGATCACCTGGGCCGACCAGACTGTACAGGAGAAGGAAGTTGGCGACTATGGCTCCTTGAGTGACGACAACCTGGTCGCTGGGAAGGTCTCCCGAAGCTTCATCTCGGTACAGATTGGCAATGTTTTGGCGCGTTTCTTCCGAGCCATAGATTGCGCCATAGGTGAGTCGTCTGGTTGCTATGTCAAGCGGGCCGGGAACGGTAGGGTCGGAAGATAACTGAGTGAGTTCTTGAATAGACACTGACTCGCAACAGGTCTCGGCAAGATTGAGGGCTCCTGGTGTGGTTTCCAGGCGATCCATCCACTCCTCCACCTCGAAAGGCTTGACTTGAACCATAATGTCGGGTTATAGTTGGTGATTGAATCTGGGAGAGGAGCACCGAGGGCAGAGTTTCACTGATAAGGGAGTGTGTCGATTACCCGAAGTCTAGGAAGCAAGACGTCTGGAGGGTGGTGTCGACGGCGAAACCTTTAAATAGTCCCAGGATCTTGCGCACTCCCTCTTCGATCCTCAAACAATATTGTCAACTCCACTTAGCAGCGTCTTGATTGACATTTTGCGCCCTCCCGGTGGTCTTGTCAAGCTCAAAGACATGAGACCGTGCGGAAGGAACCCCACTTGGGAACCTTCGGAAGGCAACTCGAAACGAGCTTTTACTTGGAGTCAGGCATTAAAAAGCAGGTATGGACGAAATCCGAAGAGCGTAGAAGCTCGGGAAAGTCGCCTGAGACTCAGTAATTTGTGCGATGGAACCTAACTTGAATAAGTTATGCTGTCTGCTGTTTGGTACATAGCAGTAGCGCCGACTGACCATATGAATTATTTACATCTCATTGGCTTGGACGCCTAAATTTCCATTTCTAGAAGTCCCCACATTCACCTGCCGGCATCTAAGAAGTAAACTCCGGCAAACTTGGGGGTTCGCCACAATGAGGGACAACTCGTCTGTGCCCTTCCACAAGCACCCAATGCTGCGCAGTGATTCAAAAGATTTTCTAGTCGTTTTTTTCTGTCCCCTTTTCTTCCCTTCCGAACTGGGTGCTTCCTCTCTTGGTGCGGAAGCATGCTATGTCATGTACGAAATAATGACCTTCTTCTCGTCCTCAGGCTCGAACTTCCATGCGCCAATGTCATAGTCCTTCAATGACACTCTCATAAAGCGACAAGTAATATTCCGAGGGCAGAATAGAACTCCGAACAGATCGCATTGCAGAGAAAAAGCGACCTTGGTCCCTGGTGCAGTGATGCCGCAAGAAGAACAATCAGTTGGACCAAATCTCGGGTTCACTGAAAGTGATGGTCGCGTTCTCGAGTTTGATTCCTGCATTGAAACGCAAAAGTCCTGGCCAGAAGTTTGGGAAGTATTCATCGCCCACCGCGTTGGTGTTCCCTTCCCCTTCAACGTCCCCATCTCCTTGGTCCAGGTCATAAACGCCCAAAGAAGCGTTGTCAGTGACCTGGCCCGGCACAGTGGCCGCCCAGTGATTCGTACCTGCCAGTTCTCCATAGGTACTGCTTGCGGACGGCAGAGGCGGCTGTGCCAGGGTCGCGTTGACTCCGAGTATCTTGTACAGATCGGTACTGAAAGGCAAACCGTTCACCAAGTCTGGCTTGAATGTAGCCTTGAACCAAGGCTTCTTCGCGGGCGTAGATTCGCTCAGATCGCCCGTGGTATCATGTGGGTAGATTTTGACCGTGGTTTCGCCATTCTCCTTCTCAGTCCAGTCAAAACGAGCCAAATGCTTTGGGATGTTCCAGTCTGTGATATATCAGTGATTTGCCCCAACTCTGAGTAAAGGCGACGGATGCAACTGGTTGAAACATACTCGTTCTTCCGTTCCAGCAGGTGTACTTCTGGCTGACATAGATGCGGCTGACCCTGACATTTTTCTTCTCTTCGCGTTCACCCTCGGCGTTGGTGTGGTTGTACTTGAAGAACCCAGGCACAATGAGCAGTTCATCATACGGTCCGACAGGGCTCTCGCTGTATCGAATGATCTGAATCATGCCCAAAATACCCAGATACTCACCCTCGGTAGCCGAAGCATACTGTCGCTCCAGAGGTGGAAATGCCTTGTTCGGAAGGTCATCCGACAGAGGGACCAGGGTGATGGAGTAGACAGTACCCTTCAAAGTCCACGGTGCAGGCGCAAGTTCAATCGGAGCGGTCGAGTTGTTGTCCCACTGGGCCGCAGATAGCCCAGCAATGACAGCGAACAGACACGAAGCACTGAACTTCATGGTCGTGTCGAGATACCGATGGCAATATCCAAACAACCACGCTAAGATTACAGGGCAGCACAGTCGTTAAATACACATTTGTTGGTTCAAATTTGGCTTGCAAACTTGCTCAGACAGGGATTGCCTCAACCTTTCGATAAGGCTCTCGGCAGTGTGCGAGTGGCAGGCCCTTTTCCGGCAAGTACATCGCCATGGACCCTCACATCAGGGTCTCATTGCGGAAATTCATTCGAAGCTCACTTATGATTTCGCAGATCCCCATTTCTGCGATTCTTGTCAGAATTGACAATCCGCTGGCCCGCATATCCACAAGTTCAGTTCTCGCAACTCAATTCGTCAAGTATCCCTAGCACTGCTTACACCCGCCCTTGTCAAACTCGTGCCTCCCATGTCTTCTCAACGTTATGACCAATTAGCGAAGGGCGTCAGTGCTTGCGGAGGGTTACACTGACGGGTGGATTGTCAGTCTTAAGTGGAAATGTTACGCTGTAGGGCAAAGACAGTGGATCCAGGGTACGCTGGCAATGGAGACCGAAGAGACGACACATAAGGCATCTTCGGATTCATTCTTGTTGCACTGACTCTTGTGCCCTGCTAGGAGGCCAATATGGTTGTAAAGGGTGTTCAATTGGGAATGATCAACGGAATTCCGGCAAATGGGAAATAACCACCAATGATGGCGGACGGGAAGCTGCAGCCTTCCGTCACACAAGCATCGGAAGTCAGCCGGGACGGTGTAACTGTTCGAATGCTGGACACGAGCTTGGCTACCTCTTTATAAAACTCTTTCGTTTCCAATATGTCATCCACGTTCAGATGTAACTCGCCTGCACCTTCTCACTCGGTCTCAAAATGCTTCTCTTTAAATTCTTAGTTCTTTCATCAGTCACAGCACTTCCCGTACTTAATCCGGTACTCGACCCCATCACCGGCAGCATTTGGACAACACTGGATGGTCTTGTTCATACGTCTCTGGGCGGTCTCACAGGCACAGTCGGTCTAGAACAGGCATACGATTATGTCGTTGTCGGGGGCGGTACGGCTGGCAACACCATTGCCTACCGTCTTGCAGAAGCTGGACATACCGTCGCCATTGTCGAGGCCGGGCTTTCTTACCAAGTTGGCAAACCCATCATTGGACCTGCACCTCTCGGCGACATCATCGGCGTCGGATCCAACCCAGTCGACAGCATACCAACCGTGGACTATGGGCTGAAGACTGTCCCTCAAGTTGGTGCGGGGGGGCGCGAGATGCACTACCCGCAGGGGAAGTGTCTTGGTGGCACATCGGCTCTGAACTTTATGATCCACCATCGACCGAACCGTGGCGCATTGGACGCTTGGGCCGATGCTGTTGGTGATGATAGTTACAGATTCGACCAGTTTCTCCCATTTTTCCGGAAAAGCTTTACGTTTACGCCTCCAAACACGAAACCCCGCCTGTCGAATGCAACCACCACATACTTCGAGAGCGACTTCGATGCCTCGTCGAATTCTCACATTCAGGTGACTTACGCCAACTGGACACCCGTATGGTCAACATGGGCAGCCAAGGGGTTTGAGGCGCTGGGAATGAAGTTGACGGACCGCTTCAATCAGGGCGTGCTGGATGGGTACCATTATGCTCAGACAACGATAGATCCCAGAGCACAGGTCCGGTCTACCTCGGCTGAATTCGTTTATGCGGCAAGAGACACCAATATGAGCGATAAGCTCACAGTCTACCTGGGTACTCGAGCCAATAAGGTGCGCTTCGATGAAGACAAGAAAGCCACTGGCGTTGAGGTCACTGCCCTGGGTCAGCTGAAGCATACGATCACTGCGAGGAAGGAGGTTATTCTTTCAGCCGGTGCCATTCACACACCACAACTGTTGATGTTGTCTGGTATTGGACCTGCAGAGCATCTTGCAGAGCACGACATTGATGTTATCGCAGACCGTCCAGGGGTGGGACGCAACCTCACTGATCACGCGCTATTTGGCCCAACATATCAGGTGACCTTCGACACACTCAACAAAGTTCTCGGAGATCCTGCCACTCTTTCTAAAGCCGTCCTAGACTATGGACTCACCCAGACAGGTCCACTGACAAGCAATGTGGCCGAGTTTCTAGCCTGGGAGAGAATGCCCAGCAGCGCCAACTTAAGCGAGTCAACCTGGTCTCAGCTTCTATCGTTCCCTAAAGACTGGCCTCATATCGAGTACTTCCCGGCTGCGGGCCATATCGGCTCCTTCAACATTCCATGGTTGGACCAGCCAAAGGATGGGAAAATGTACGCTGCCATCATTGCGGCGTTGGCTGCGCCCCTCTCCAGAGGCAACGTATCACTTGCCAGCAACTCACCCTCGGATCATCCGCTCGTAAATCCGAATTGGTTGACCCATCCAGGTGACTTGGAGGTCGCGGTGGCCATGTACAAGCGTATTCGCGACGTCTTCAACACGGATGCGGTGCGAAGCGTTCGCGCCAGCGATGCAGAGTATTGGCCAGGCGCAGATGCAAAGACGGATGAGGAAATTCTGGCTACCATTCGGTCAAGCGTGATGGCGGTTATGCATGCCTCTTGCACTGCACGTATGGGACACCGAGATGATCCCACGGCTGTGACAGATAATTTGGCCCGGGTGATTGGGGTTGACCAGCTTCGCGTCGTGGATGCGAGTTCAATGGCACTGCTACCGCCTGGACATCCCCAAGCACTTATATACGCCTTTGCTGAGAAGATAGCGGATTCGGTTATTCGAGAACTGTAGTAGAAGTAAAATGATCCGTATATTTCTCATGCAAGCATATCCACCAAAATGCGAACTCAACTCAACCGCCGACCCAAGTTCGAAGAGCGCACTTCTACCGCCACGATCATTAGGATACAGCCCACTACCAATGAGAGATCATCCTATGGCTAGTCACTGTGGCGTTCGATGTTTGCGGACAAGTTTCAAAGCGTATCTGCAACAAATTCGTATTGGATGTCTATCAAGGTAAAGGACGAACGAACCATTTCTCTGTGTTATCCAGCCAGCAGAACGCAGGCATCGCTGCAAGGCGGAAACCCCTCCAGGTATGCATCTGTCTGATTTGTTAAAGTCACGATATCCTTTTGCGGATGTATAGACATATGTGATGGGCAATTGACTTTACGTTGAGATTTCGAAAGCCCTATTTATCATCACGCGACTACCAAAGAACGACTCTGACGTTTTCATGCATTTGGTGGCGCTGTTGGAGAAAATACCGGATTCCCGGCGAATTTTCCTCGGGTCAGATGCACACCTGCATATTTCAAACCGAATTTATTCGCCGAGGAATCTTTCGCATATTAAATAATCACCTTGTTTGGCGTCTACTAGATGTTTCACTGACTAAACATGGCATGGCTGCCCATAGACAAATTCTTGGTTCCCTCGATCTCTATCAGTAATTCCAGTGCCGGCGAAAACGCCGAAGCTGTCATGGATCTAGTTCGCCAGCTCTTGGCAGCTTCGGTGCCCAGACCGAGAGTAATGTTGAGCTGAAACTTTGTCATGCTCTTCCGTGACCTTGTGCGACTCGTAGCCGCATGTCAGTGCGTTTTAGGTTTGGGAATTACTTCGGCGCTCCCACCGAGCTGGACTGCAGCTCCACGTCCCCCACGGGGTCCCCTCAAGTTCGATTGACACATCAAGACACCTCGACGCCACTGTGATAAATACTAGCGGCTTCTCCCGCCCCAGATTTTGATTTAAGCTTACCATGCCCTCCAGACAGCAGTTCTTCGGCCTCACTCCGAGAGCAGGAGAAAGTAGTAAGTCATTACTGCCATCAGAGGACACCATGGCAAAAGCTTCGGATGAGACGTGAGTAGATGAACATCAATCGCAATAATCTCCTAACTCGAAACAGAAAAAAGTCAACGACGGATCTGGGCGCGAATTTCAGTCACCGCGAATCCCAGCACCATGCTGTCGAAGTTCCCTCAGGAGAGTAAGTCTTCACTTGCTTGCTTCATGGCCACTTGTGAGTCCTTGAAACTCACAGCATCTTAGAATCAAAAATCCATTGGCCGGGATACCCAAGCTCCGGCTCCAACAAGATGTGCACCGTTTCGCCGAATTGCATGAGATGAGAGACGAGTCCTCTTTGCTCTTCAAAGGGGCGTTGGTTTCTCAGAGACCAGGGGACTACGAAGATATCGAGGAGCTCGACGAGGCCGATCGACACGCTTTGCGGAACGAATATATACATCGATGGAAACATCCTACGGCTCTTTACTTCACTATCTTCATGAACTCCATTGGCGCCATGATTCAAGGATGGGACCAAACAGGCTCTAACGGTGCCAACCTCTCTTTCCCTCAGGCTTTCGGAATATCAGACAAAGGTCCTGAGTGTCTTGCTGCCGGTACTTGCGATAGAAACTCTTGGATCATAGGCGCTATCAACAGTGCGCCATATATGGCTATCTGCCTTTTGTGAGTTTGAGTTCAGCCTCCGTATGAGCATCGCACTAATCGACTGTTCGACAGTGCTTGTTGGCTCTCTGATCCCGTCAATGACTGGATCGGCAGACGCGGAGCCATCTTCTTAGGCGCAATATTCGGTGTTGTTGGGCCACTCGGACAAGCCTTTTGCCAGAGCTGGCCGCAGATCCTTGCATGCAGAATCCTCTTGGGCATCGGTATGGGCCTGAAAGAAGTCACCGTGCCGGTCTTCTCCGCCGAGAACGCACCCGCGAATATTCGTGGCGCCTTGGTCATGTCGTGGCAGCTGTTTGTTGCATTCGGAATCATGCTTGGGTTCAGCGCCAACCTGGCAGTCGCCAACACTGGTGATATTGCGTGGCGCCTGCAGCTTGGCTCAGCAATGATCCCAGCTGTACCTCTCCTATTCGGCATCTACTTCACTCCAGAATCTCCAAGATGGTTGCTGAAGAAGAAAAGGTACAAACAGGCTTACGAGTCGCTTAAGAGACTTCGTGGATCAAGTTTTCTCGCGGCTCGCGACTTGTATTACATCCACAGCCAGCTGCAAGAAGAGGAAAACATGATTACAGAGAAGGGCTTTGATAAGGGCAATTTCTTCACTAGGTGTGTCGAGCTCTTCACGATTCCACGCAATCGTCGTGCTACTCAGGCATCGGGCATTATCATGGCGGCGCAGCAGTTCTGCGGTAGTGAGTATTACCCACTGGGATCGAACCGATGAATCAATTGACGCTAACATCTTCTTCTAACCTAGTCAACATCATGTCCTTCTACTCTTCAACCATTTTTGAAAACGCTGGGGCAAGTAGTCAGACCGCACTACTAGCTTCATGGGGTTTCGGCATGGCCATGTTCATCTTTGCCATCCCAGCTCTGTGGACCATCGATACTTGGGGTCGAAGGACTTTACTTCTTGCAACATTCCCCAACATGGCTATTACTCTCTTGGCAGCTGGAATGGCGTTCTACATTCCTGCGTCTAGTCCGGCTCATCTAGGTGTCATTGCCACGTTCACTTACATCTTCGCTGCCTTCTACGGCCCAGGAGAAGGGCCATGTGCCTTCGTATACTCAGCAGAAGTTTTCCCTCTATCTCACCGCGAAGTGGGCATGTCATGGGCCGTGGCGACCAACAACTTCTGGGCCGTCATTGTGGCGCTCACCTGGCCACCAATGATGCGAGGCTTAGGGCCCCAGGGCTCCTTCGGCTTATTTGCTGTTACCAACATAATCTGCTTCGTAGCAATCTTCTTGTTCATGCCAGAGACAAAGCAGCGATCCTTGGAAGAGCTTGACGATGTCTTCTCCGTATCAACTCGACGTCACGCATCTTATCAGCTAAAGGAGGTACTTCCGTGGTGGACCAAGCGGTACGTTCTTCGACAGAGGAACATTATGGAGCCGAAGTTGTACCACTTCGAGATGGAGGAGAATGTGGAGGCTGCATCAGGACGTTAGCATGAACCGAATCAAGTACAAAGGCATAGCGATGGCTTCAACTGTACGTACGCCAGTACCTAGACTTTTGCTCTGGGGGATGTTCCCAGAGCGGCATGATCATCTTGATGGGAACAAGGAGCAACGCCCCGGCGCAAATGCAAGGTTTATATGGATTGTAGATAGATAAACAGGCAAGTGGTATGTTCAACTTCCATTATGCCATAATACCAGTACGTCCATGTTGAAAGTGATTGAAGTCCTTCAGGAATTCCCGTGCCATTTTCGTGTCCAGGCGTTTGCTTTGAATTCGGGTAGTGCAATATTACATATTGGTGCGACTAGGTGCGCGCATTATCTGACACGATGTTATTCCCATTTCCGGTTACCTCTTTCTGGTCAGGTTTCCATAAAAGTGAGGTATTGCACATTATTTCCTCCTGCACTCGTAGCTGCGGATAGCGTCATTGAAGCGCCCATTTCCATCGCCAAGGTTGCTGTCGTCTTGGTTGCGGTAGCTGTCACCGCGGCACTCACGCTCACTACTGAGAGTCAGCCGCCTTATCACGGAGGAATGTAGTCCATTCATCGAAGTTGAGACTTACCGGTACCAAGTACAAGTGTTGCGATCTCGATCATTGTTCCGAATAGAACTGATACGGTCGATGAATTCGGAGCGCACGTTGTCTGCCATATGTGAGCCACGGTATTCCTTCCCCTCGCTAGAGAGACATCTTTCTTGGAAAAATGATATAACTCACAGCATGATCCAGTCTGAATTACATCGTTCATACAGTCTCCTCTAAAGCCTCGGTCGGTACACATGAAGACGGATACCTCAGCGCGAGGAACCAACACAGGGGCAGAGCCATCGTTCACGGGGGCAGCCACCGCAGCAGTGGCGGCACAAGCAACTAAGATGAGGTTGAGTTTGACGGAAACCATTTTTGTTGTTGGTACTTTAGTTGAGAAGAAGAAGAAGGACGTTGGATATTGGTGAGTAGTGACGGACTGAGAGAGCGGTGTTGAGCCCGGCTATATATGCCTTTCCGTGGCAATAGTTACTGGCGAACACCATCTTCCTTAAGCCTTCGTTTTCGTCTCTCATTCATCTCATTCGTGACCCAATCGGAGCCTAGGCCCATCCACTGGGAAACTTCAGTGAGGCAATCACCATTACCCCAAATATTAAGCGCATCTCCGCACACCAACCCCGGTAGCCCGGTTTCATGATGCCATGGGTACCCTACGTCGACCCAGCCAGACTAAAATAAAATACCGTAGTTGAACACCGACATTTAACATCGATTTCGCAGCAACTGCATAGAATTTACGCTTAAATTTGACTAAGAGGCTAGACTAATTCGCTTTGAAGGAAAAGTGAGGCTTATGCATAAGAGAGATGCAACTTGCCATGTAATAAACAACATCGGACGACAGGAAACCGGAAAGAGGAACCGCCATTGGACTATTGTTTCACGCAGCTGACTTTGCTATTGCCGTCTATCATGAACATGCCGTTAAATGCCCGTCATTAGGCTGCTTCTTTCATACCAGGTGGTTCTAGGTAGGCGTTTGCGGTTCGGGTGGAGGTTCCAAGAAATCATCACGTCAGATGCAGCTCGGAAGGTTATAGTCCACACTGCGCCTTCCTGGGCAGTATCACACGATTGGTCTTCGCTTCCCAAAGTCTAGACGAAATTGCCTTTTCTGTTCCAAACCTTGGTCTTGGATCAGGATTCCAAAAACTCTAGAAAGCACCGAAAACTGCCGTTTTCTTCGTACGCTCGGCCTTCGAAGCCAAATAAAGTTGGTTTGATGTTGCAGTGTCAATGCAATTGAACGTCATTTTTGCTAGAGCACCTAGCCGGGATGCTTCTCAATAGCAACCTCACCCGGAGCTGGCTGGTTAATGAGGGATCATCATACCACTCGTAGTACCACACCATGCTAGAGAATGTCACAGAACACTCGCAGTTTGTTGATCGCCGTGGATTGTCATTTCGGACAAGGAAAATGGAAACGTAAACGGTCCCTCGAAGGATCCAGGACGTCAACGTCGTTCATCTGAGAACAATTGACAGGTCTTGGCAAGAATTCTATCGCAGCATAGAGAAGGTGAACGAATGGAGCGAAATCTAGGGTCTTTCATGTCAACGCGGACTATCATGCCAATGCAAGTGGTTAGATGGGATAACGTTTTTCTTCCACGAAGTGTATATAGCAAGAACAAATAATATCATTACAATTCAACGTCGTTGCTATCGACCGCCTGCACCAGATCACTCATGGCCTGGTAGTCCACTTGCAGCCAAGATTCACTCCATATATCGGCAATACCCATCCTCACGGCATCATTGGCAGCCAAGTCAGCCACAGAATTTGGACTGCAAGGAACAAGATCTGCCAATTGTGTCATCAACGGCTTCCAAGTAAATCAGATTGCATCATCGGGTACTCACCCATAATTCTCGAGAGTATTAGCGCTGCGCGGCCTGCGATTGGCTCAAAAACTGCCATAGTTTGTAGTGTTTTCTGTGAATTCTCAATTTGTCCCCTCCAGACTACGGCAGACGGATGATGGAGATCATATATCAGGCATGTTACGCTAACGAAGACAGCTGTAACGAGCCAGTATGTTGCGTACCATGCCAAAGCCCCTGGACAGCTAGAATGAGTAAGAGAAAAGCCAATGATAGACTGCGTACAGTCTTGGGCCGCTGTAATGCAGCGTACGACAACGTCGTTCGCGTCGTTTGTATTTAGGGGTTGGCGTCTCTGGAGAGCATCGAGAAGAAATGGCCGAGTCAAAACGATTCGCAGGTGTTGTGCACGCCAGAGAAGAATCATGCGTGGCACATCGAACCATGCGTGATCAGGGGCAGGCGAGTGTTTGAAGAACGACGGTAGGGATTCTTGCCATTGAAGGACTCGATTGTCCAGGGCTAACATCTCGGTTCGCTGCGGTAATCTTCTTTCCAATAACCTGGCATTAACCTCATTGCTGATATTGGCCAATTTGCACTGCCATATGAGGGAGGATGTCACGGTTGGATAATCTCGGGGTTCTCCGAGAGCCTCATTATCAACTGCAAGATCAAAGTCGTCCAGATTCACTGGCAATTTGACATTTCCTCCAGCTAGCAGGATAGAGGATCTTCCGAAGGTCAAGCGGGCCCCGGAATCGAAAATGAATAGGGTCCACCATACTCGGCGTCGTATTTCCATTGTGAAGGGTGTAATCGATACGTCTGAGAACTCGCGATGGAGTCCGAGGCCCAAAGCCATGTTCATCGCAACTCCTAGAAATGTGAAGCCGCTGTTGGGCTTGTTCCGCTTTTGTAGATAGTTCGCCATCAGTAGAAAGGCCTGAACAAGGTGTATCGATCCGCGCTGTAGCAGGTCCATGGACAACGCCGACTGGGCGTGGTGAAAGAAATGGCGGTCAGCCCTGTTGGAGCTTTGAGGACCTGCGAAAGCCCCAACGGCAAGGACCATGTTATAGAGGACCGGCCACGACCCATCTTTGGGTTTCGGTATAGCACCTACCAATAAAATACACCGGTAAGCGCAGAGCCTATTCTCACATGATTGAAAACTTACCCATAAACTGAGCTCGAAAAACCCCTTCATGTAGCAGCGGGTAGGCTTTATGGAAGTGTTGAAAGTACCAGTCTAGACACTCATTTCTGAATCCGTTGGAATGTATGAGAGCTTGAGTTTCTTGGGAAGTCTCGGAGTCAACGGGGAAAGAGGAGAAATCAACGTCAGATTCGCCCTCCGACAAGAAGTGAACAACAGAATGGAGATGGCGTAGTAGAGCGTTCCCTGACTGTGGGCCCATGTATCCGGAGGCTTTGGTTTGAAGAGATAAAGAACCAATTCCATCAGTAAGAACGTTCTGTTCTACAGTCTCATCCCATTCTAGAGCCTCAATAGTGTCGAACTCAAGGTCGGGTGGCGAGTGGGATCGGTCATCGCGAACATCGCTGGGCATGTTCCTTGAGGTATAGTCGGTACCAATTCCGGTAGCACCATTGCCGGCAGGTATTGTCGATAACTCTGATGCCGATAACTCCGATGTTGTGTGACGATTATCATCGTTCGATGAGGCTTCGATCGCATGAGAAAGGTCAACCTGGGGGAGAAATTGACTCCAAGCAGTTTCAAGACTCTTCACACGCCTTTCTGATTGCCGCAGTCGCCTGTTCAGGATGAATTGTGAGCTCGAACACAAAAGCGCCCATAAACCCAAGGAATCGGAATACTCCGGTGAGCCGGCGTAGCAGACCATGCCTCACCCACCTTTCCAGGGCAGCTATCTTGCCGTGATTGGAAGAGTAGCTGCATACCGTCTTGCTGCGGCAGCATTGTTGACAAGGGTTAGTACCGGAACACCGGACTTTGCGCCGTTTACACACATCGCAGGCTTTGTGATGCCCTTCCCGAGACCTGTTATCGGAAGGGCCTGGTGAGGCTTGTGTAAGACTGGCCGGGGTCTGAGGTCCAGCGGGATCCATTATCAGCAAAACGAATTGCTCAAATTTTCCGATGAAAATCCGGTATGCAAGTAAATATTTGTCTCTAAGGAAGAAACACTCGGAACGATCTCAAGACGTCCAGGGAAAAGGGTACGCTATGGCTGATGAGGGGTAATCCTCAGGTCATTTCAGCGAGTGAGAGAAGCTTTTCTAGTGGAGTTCGACGGCGTCAAAGTACGTTACTACCATGGCCGGTCACAGCCATTGGTCCATGATTAGCGCAGGTATCAACATTAGCGCTCAAGTATAACCAGAGACGAAAGAAAGGCGAGCAGGGTTCGCTTTTCCCCTATGACTGCTTCTTCGTGAACGTGAGCTGAACATGTTCGTCTTGCATTTTGATTGTTGCCATTCGAGCGAAACACGCAGAATGCTAGCTAAGTTACAAATACAACATGCCGCCATTCGCGCAAACAGTGTCACCAGTGACCCATCTTGATCTCTCCTCGCACAAGAAAACAACTATGTCCGCGATATCCTGTTCGGTGCCGCAGCGAGGCTCTGCTGGAACTTTCTTGTTCTGCTCTTCCATTCTAGCGAGATGAACAGGTCCTGCTGCGCGGTACATATCTGTATCAACAGGGCCCGGATTCACACAGTTGACAGTAACTCCATATTTGTGGCCTAGCTCTGTAGCCCAGACACGGGTCAATCCTTCAACGGCCGCCTTCGACGCAGCGTACACTGACTGTGTGCTGTAGCCTCCCCTGGAGGAAATCGACGAAAGATTGACTATGCGTCCTCCGCGGTTTATATGTGGCAAAACAGCTTGTGTCATGAAGATGACAGCCCTGACGTTGACGGTCATCAGACGGTCATAGTCCTCAACAGTGACTTCTTCAAGAGGCGCATTTCCACCCAGACCCGCGTTGTTGATCAAGATGTCGATCTTATCCGTCTGGAATTCTTTCAAGCTGGCATTAAGCAGGTCTTTCGGTGCATCCAAAGAAGCCATGTCAACCCTCACACATACTGCGCGAGAGCCTAAACTCTTCACTTCCTCGACCAGACTGACACCAGCTGACTCAGATGACGGAGTGACATAATTGAAGGCGACCTGCCCATTTGGAAGAATCAGCAAAGGGGATAGCCTTTTCGGTTTGGGAGAATCGATGGTCCAGCGGGGCACTGCGCGTACCCCAGAGTTCACCGCGATGAACTTGTCACCAATTGAACAGGGGATATACATACACTTGCACCTTCTTTGGCAAGGGCCCGCACGATGCCCGCACCGATCCCTCGAGCAGCGCCCGTCACAATGGCAACTTTCCCTTTGAGAGACATGATTAGGTGTTTCAAAATTGAAGTTGTTTGGAACGAGCTGGAGGACCTCCAAGGAGGAAAAAATGATCGCTTCAGAGAGTTCAATGATGTATGCCGAGGATTGAGCTTCTCAAATGTATTTCTTGGCTGTATTTCTTGAAATATCTTACCGTGCAAGTCGAAGGGAGATTTATCCCGGGGCAAGCCTTCGCCGCGCGGAGTCTGCCATCAGGCGGGGAAACCACCGAGGTGGTACGTCACGGAGAAACCGCCGAGCGCCAGTGCGCCGACTGTGGGGTAACGGCGATTTCACCGAGCCCGTGGCGTCACTGGCGCAGGCATATTGTCAGAGCCACACTGTTGAGGTTGAATATGTTGCTGTTCGGAGGGGGGGATGAGGGGTAAAGATCTCCGGGGTTCTGCCACAAGAACACGCGTGAGTGACTCAAGAAAGGCGGCCCCTCCTCCGAAGGCAAGGTCTTGATAAAAGACATGGTGCCCAGCCACAGGTTTCTGTCTTTTGTCTTTGCCTTGCCGTTATTCTTGCCGCCTACTGTCTGGTAGAAGTTGATCCTCCCCTAACTGCAATCCTTCTTCAGCTTCATTTTTATTAGTACAAAATGGCAACTGACGCATCTGCCGCGGACATTCTTCGCCGGAAACCCGAGAACTTTGCTGTCTACACCAATCCCAGCCATGAACTTTACCTGAAGAAGATCGATATTCCCACCCCAGGCGATGGAGAATGTCTAGTGCATGTGCGCGCAACTGGTATCTGCGGCTCTGATGTCCATTTCTGGAAGGCAGGTCACATTGGTGAGATGGTGGTCACTGGTGAGAATGGCCTTGGACACGAAAGTGCGGGTGTTGTTGTTGCAATTGGTCCCAACACTACCAAATTCAAGGTTGGTGACAGAGTAGCCTTGGAATGCGGTATTCCATGCATGAAGGCATCTTGTTTCTTCTGCCGTACTGGAAGATACAACGCTTGTCCTGACGTTGTCTTCTACTCAACACCGCCGTATCACGGAACTCTGACGCGCTATCATGTGCACCCGGAAGACTGGCTGCACAAGATCCCTGAGACAATTTCTTACGAAGAGGGATCCCTCCTCGAGCCACTTTCTGTGGCTTTAACGGGCATTGAACGGTCTGGTGTTCGCTTGGGAGACCCGGTCGTCATCTGCGGCGCCGGACCCATTGGCATTGTCACCCTGATGGCTGCCAGCGCAGCTGGGGCCAACCCCATCGTCATCACAGATATCAATGAAAGCAGACTGCAAATTGCTAAGAAGGCTATCCCGAGAGTGCGGACTGTGCTTGTTGCTCCAGGGAAGGATCCGCAAGCCGCCGCTGAAGATGTGAAGGCTGCACTTGGTCAAGAGGCGAAGTTGGTGTTGGAATGCACTGGTGTGGAATCCAGCGTTATCACTGGCATTTATGTGAGTTTTGTCATATCTTGTGGCTTTCGTATACACTGACATTCCAGGCGTGTCGTTTTGGTGGCATGGTCTTCGTCATCGGTTGTGGGAAGGACTTCGCCACGATCCCCTTTATGTACATGGCTGGAAAGGAGATCGACTTGCGTTTTCAGTTCCGTTACCGCGATATCTACCCAAGAGCTATCGGTCTTGTATCCGAGGGTGTCATTGACTTGAAGCCCCTAGTCACGCACCGCTATACTCTTGAAGAGGGCGAAAAGGCCTTCATGACTGCTTCGGATCCCAGTGCATTGGCATTGAAGGTTCAAATCATTGACGAATAAAGGAACGGTACCTGCGTGTGGAAAAGTTTGTTTCGCGAAAATTTGGCATTGTGAAAGGCTGAAGGATTGGAATGTCGTTGTGAAGCATGGTGTGATTGGGAATGAGGGCGGGCTTACTGGGCTGAGTATCAAATTGAACGTGTGGTATGAGATAGCTGGGTCGACTGAGACAATGGGAAAATTCAACTTCGATTACCTTCTTCATCTGATGAAACGGGGCGTACACCTAACGTCCGGTGCCGGTGGACACCTAGTCTTCTTGACGAAGCCTGGACGTGGAAATCTTGAGTTGGTATCTAGCAAGACGTCTACACCATTAAATAGAAATTGCAAAATTAACAAAGAAGGTTAGCTCCGTTTCAAACCAAAAGTGCACTGATCCCCAACCTTCTCATCGCACTTCTAGTCGCATTCCTGTCGTTGCCAAAGTCGTCTCGGTGTTCCCAGCTTTCTCTGAGAATCAGAAGCACCGTTCCAAAATTCGTGAAGCTCGTGCCCGATGTTTCGAGATTAGCTGTAAGTATCCTCTCGAAGAAATCTTGTTGATCTTGTCGAGCTATTGCACCGGCGACGCACATTGGCCATGTCAAGCCTCTGAGAGATGCCCCCTTTGGCATCTCCTTTAATGCACTGATTACCTCCGCCACAGCCTCATGCACCTCTTCATGGTATTCAAAATCAATTGCCGTGAAGGCCCGCAGTTGTGAAAGGGTAGCTGTTGCAAAGACCCGGGTTACTGCTTGACATGTCATCGGCGCCGAAGCCTGGGACTTGTCAGTGCGTTTCAGTGGTATCCTCAGGAGCTTACAAACCTCATCGTTTGTGTTTCTTAAACCATCTATCCCTGCACGCAGTCTCTGCCTCAGATCATACGATCGCTTCCTTGCCAGACTAGAGCTCATTTCCGCTAGCTGTGTTTCTAATAGTGCAACGTCGCCAAGAGCAAGCATAGCCCAATTTTGACAACCCATGACACACGACATATCCAGGTCATCTAGTGCCAACCAGGTTTGATATGGCAGCTTGGGTGCTTTGCCAGTTGCGACACAAGCCACCATCTCGAACCACAATAGCTGTGCCATGTGAAACCTCATGGCAGCATCGACCATCCTCTGCAAGCCTGGTTCGAGTTTAGGCGACTGAAAAGAGAGTGAGCCATCGTCATTCGGACGAATTTGACTAGCCACTGACACCAGGGCATTGAGGTGTGGCTCCCACTTAGATGTTCCTCCTTGAAAAATCTGCATCGGTCAGTAATTGAAAACGTGATGGAAGAGGGTTCATGGAGGTGAGTACTTCGAAGCTGATGAGAAAGGTCCCGCAAGTGAGGAATTCAACTCTCTGCTCGGGATGACTTGCGAAGCCATCCGTTTCTCTATGGATTAATACTTGACGGAGTTCCTGCATGGCGTTCGTATGGTAGCGGATAAGCTCCGACTCCATTTCTTCTGTCTTATTCTCTGAGGTGCTGTGCTGGTGGAGCGCAGATAGTGTAAAAGCAGCTTGCCGCAAGGGCCCTTGTTTCGACAGGAGCCAGAAGAGCCACCCTCGTCCTCCCGTTGCTGGGTTGTCGACATAATACGCATACTGGATCGGAAATATGTAATCGAGATAATGCATGAGAAGTTCTGCTTCTCTGAACTCAGAATCTTTTGAAGAAGAAGATGATGAGCTGGGATCATCGAGCCCCGTGAGAGACGATGTTGAGGCCCTCTGTGGGCTACGTGCAGCCTGCAACTTTCGGGTTTGACGGAAGTTCTGTTTCACAGCATGCTTGATGCGCTGTAATTCTTCCCGAAGACTAGCTGGATCTTTTGCCCATTCTGGCTCAGGCCCGTATCCATGACACGTGATATGGCGATCAGTGCATTCTTTACATTCTGGTAAAGACTCATCACACTTTCTGTGGCGGATGCGGCACGTCCAGCAGCCACCACTGCTCCGGGGCAAGGGCTTGGACATGCCGGGGTCTTGACTGTGTGGACAACGTCGGTTCCAACCCCAAGCGGGGATATCCTGTGACTCTTCTCGTAGTGACCACAATTGAGAAAAGAAAGTATTCGCCTGTCTCCTGCCGTATTTGCGTTCATGTTTTTGCCGTGTTTGTGTGAAGTTCTCGCGCCTGAGGTGTCGGTTATTCTTACCCCGCATAGCCCCTTGTCCACGCAAAACTGGGAGGGAAGCTCGAGCCGATCACTGGGAAGGAAGGCCGAGACGAGATCTCGCGTGTAAGTCTTAAGCAAGTTGACACTGCCTCTCATGTCAACCGACTTCTAATTGAGCATGAGCGGCTGGAGTACAATGTAGCCCAGATTATCTTCAGCCTCGATTTCTTCGCAATCAGTGAGCATTTTCTTTTTCTAGGGTCGAAGAATACTATAGTGCCGCATACTTAAATGACTTCAGGCAGCTCCGCCGTAATGAGAGCGCCGTAAATGAGAGAATTGAATACTCCGTGAGCTCTCGTCTTCTGAAAGTGTCATTTGTTATTTCACTGAGCCTAATCAGACACTGTTGATTTTAGGCCAAGAATTTTGGTTATATTTCTCGGTTTTATAGAGTGCTAAGCGTGATGAGTTCGTTGAACTTCTTGCTTCACTGCGAATGCGGCAACTGAAAATGTCGAACGCGACCACGTTCAAGAGCAATCTCAAATTTTTGCAAAGTCTCATACTCAGGTCATTTTTGTTTCAACGGTACATATTTGATGTAAGAGAGTGATATTTAAGGTCGCAAATTACGTTGGTTCACTACATGTATCAATCTTCCCCAATCCTCCACCTCAAGTCAAATCACACAAATAGCAAAACTCTCCAACCATCCATTACCCCTCGTACTATTGATTCCGTGTGCCATGTCGATGTTGCTGCCACTCAATCTCGAAATTAACAGCGGCAACAAATATCGCGACTCATGCAGCCTTAGCGGGAGCCTGGGCAGGAGCCTGAGCAGCAGGTGCCTTGACAGGCTCAACCGCAGCCTTCCTGTTATCGCGGAAGTGATCCCTGGCCTTCTCGCGGGCGCGGCCGGGCTCAGGGCTGGCGCAAAAGACGTAGTTGCCATTGCCACGAGTGCAGAGAATGTTCGTGCGCTCTGCTCAAGAGTTAGATATTTCCCGTGAAACGAGTATCCATCATCAAACTCACCAAAGGTAACGATCTGCGCTTCACTAGCGGCACAGAAAGCAATGTCACGGCCCTTGCAGTTAGGAGCATCACGCTCACGGCCACGATCGCGGTCACGATCTCCGTCACGGTCACGGTCGCCATCACGGTCACCACGGTCGCGGTCGCGGTCTCCATCACGGTCGCGATCGCTCTCACCGCGGCGGCGTCTGCACTCTCTGTCTCTGTCTCCGTCCCTCTGTTGGAAATTTTGTAAGTAACATATTCGGTTATAAGAAGGCTTCATGCTTCACTCACATCGCGTCTGCGGTAGCACTCGCAGCGGCGTCTGCCGATGTCCCAGTACTCGTCGAGCTCGCACTCCTCAATGCGACGCCACTCCTCGGCGATCTGGCGAGCGAACTCGCGCTGCTCGCGATAGGCGCAGAAGATCCTGTTGACTCGGTCTCTGCGGCAGTAGCGGCTGCCCTCGTCTAGAAGATGTTGTTAGCACAGGCTGTGACCCTTTGTGATGAGGGTTATGTACCATAGCGGGAGTACTCGCTGATGCCTCTACCACAGTAGAGCTCATCACGCTCATCGCGGCACTCGCCACGACGGAAAATGTCGTCACGATCGCGGTCGCGGTCACGAGCGTCGGCGGCATCAGCCGGCAGGGCGGCGACCGAAGAGATGGCCGCGAGTGCGGCGACGAACAAGGTAGAGTAGAGCATCTTGACGATTGTAAGAAGCACGAATTACTGCCGAGGACAGAGGTGGGTATCGGGGTATAATTAGCTGGTTGAAAGGATTGCTTGCGAGACTGTGTGATGATGAAAAGCAAAAGGAGTGGGATAGGAGGGTGAAGACGTGGATCTTTATAGGTTAGGAGCCGTTCGATCCCAAGCTCTGTTCACGACGCATTCGTCTGCCGAGGAAGATTGACCTAATTTTCGCCCAATTCCATGACTGCCTGGCTGTGGTCGACGACACGCCCGAAGGTTGCTGAGCCTACCAGAGCTCAAGGATGTTAGTCTTTCCCGAGGCATCCGCCGACCATTTTCCCTGAAGCTCTCCCAAATCGCGAAGACTGTCGTCTTCCTCGGCGCTGCCCAGACAGCTTTCATCCTGCATCTTCAAATTCAGACGACATGAACTGGGATTAACGTAAGGATTGTGGAATTGGTGGCTGTCAAGCAGGATCCGGTGGAGATCCTTGGGTCGGCGATGGCACCGCCCTTCCCATGCGAAATGTCGGACGGAAAGCGAGATTGATGTCGAATAGTGGTATGCTTGTTTTTCGATGATGTTCGCAGAGGCTTTCCATTGATGGTGGGCAGGTTTACCAAAGTATCACAGTTGAAAGGGTTGCCCGGTATCAAAAAGGTGGTGTGCTGCTCAACTCTAAATCGACGAACGATTGGCGTGACAAGGGGAGAATGCATGCAACTCACTCAAGTCCATTCGAAACATTCAGAGTCAAATGAACGCGAGAATGCTCTTCCACACACTGGACTGAACTCGTTGATTACCTATTCTGAGATGTAGTTATGGAACCAATGTCTTGGCGACATGCTGTGCATCCGGATGAGGAGTTGCAGTAATGCGGTCTCGGTTTATCGAAAGTTACATGGCGACTCTGCATTCCTTTCGGCATCTTTCTTCGAATTCTGCTCACTTAACTTTGTGGAAACCGCACGTGGCACGATACTCACCCTTCAGCTGTTCAACACATGGATATGGTTGAAGAATTCACCATGGCCCAGATGAATGGAGCAGCGTTAACAACCGGAAGGTTGATACCAGCAAATCAGTGCATATGATCTCGATTCTAGCCCGGCTGAGTTGTTGGCATATGTGCATTGCTGCCTGCGTCAATTCTCGGTTTCATTGGCCGAATAAATCGCAATGGAAAGGTTAGCTAGGTTCGACTGGTGGTATGTTCGGCGCGGAAGGACGTGTTTACGTTCCCGTGGATGATATCAGATTGATAGGCCGTGGCGATTCACATCCGAAGGCACCGCATACTTTACCTCGTAAACCTTGAGATCCGCGGACAATTAGACTCGACGAATTATCTACCGGCGCCGGGTTCCTCTATGCGCTCTGTAAGGCAGCAATTTGTTGATCATGGAGCACGCGGATATGCATGGCTTGGCACAGCTTGATCCCATCTTCGCTGACCGTCGAGGCATCAATAGCGGCTGCTATCGCTGGGGTTTGAGAGAACGTGTCTTTCAGAGTCATTTTGTGCCGATCAGCAAGCCTACTGCGAATACATTCGAGGACTTTAGGACATGGCTCAGATCACTTGGTATACAGAGCTTGATGGCACCGAACCACCAGCTCCCCGCACGTGAGGCCATCTTCCCCAATAAATTCCATCCCAAGACAACGGGGTTTCTACAACACACTCAGAGTTTTTACCCAATTTCCCGAAGCATGATAGGCGTGTTCTCGGACACCGCCTGGAAACCTCGGGGCGAGCCATGCGTTCCATGCCTCCTCTCAGCTACCGGCACGAACTACACCACTATGTGGCACGCATGGCTTCGATGAATGTGCGGCGCTGTGCAACCAGTTCACCTTGCTCCACGTGGGATGCATGAGGGGGGGTGCCTTGCGACCTGATCGGACGGTGTTCCGTGTCATACCGTTTCGTTCCGATGCCACCGGCCGGGAACAGTTCAATGTATGAATAAAGTTGGCCCAAAGGGTAAATAAGCATATTGCATGTTCATGCCAGAGGTCTTGCGATAAATGCATCAAAGGCGCATTGGTGTCTGGTCTCGGGTTGAAGCATCGCCACTGCCATTACAGTCTGTCGGGTTGCCTCATGATGCGAAGCAGCTGGCAAACAGCTTTGCGCATAATCGCATTGACGGCCGGCAACGTTCCCCGAAACCGGCAGTGTCTCTTCACGCCACGTACAATCAGATACAAAAAGGGCATCGCACAGAGCGCAAATTGAACAAGGTCATCGTTTATTGATTTCGTTAACAGTCCTAAAAGCAGGACAGAATCGACAGGATATCTTGGCACCGGTATTGTACAGAGCTCATCACGTCCATCAAGAACGAGAGTCTCCTTTTCTCCTTTCATGTCGTTCGCTCGAAGCGAGGAATCGGAAATCGCTCAAAATTTCATGCAAAGTAGGAAATGAATATGGTGGGAAACAGCCATAGGATGGCCAGTGAAAGAAATGAATACGCTCATCAAGTCAGGGAATCATTCAGTATCACCTGAAGCCGCCCTGGTAGCCCTGGTTTCCGCCTCCATACCCATTGTTTCCGAAGCCACCTTGCTGGTTACCGAAAGCATTGTCGCTGTAGCCGCCGTGAGGAGGGCTCATGGGCGGAGGGCTGTGTTGATCGGGAGAGCCGAGTCTCGAGTAGCCGCCGTGGGAAGTGCTACGGCTCGGCGCCATCGGCAGAGGACCGGAGGGCGGCACGCTGGGACTCTGGGTTCTCAGCGGAGGCAAGACAGGCGTGCCGGTACGGGAATCACTGTAAGCGCGCATACCACCGGCGGCACCAACGGCACCGGCTCCGGCAGCGGCCGCAGGAGCGGCATCCCAAACGGCCTTCTCCTGGGTCGCGGGAACGCTGTAAGAGGTCTCTTGCACCATTCCGTTCTTGCTGAAGTCTCTGGCATTGTACTCGGTGCCCGTGGAGCCGTTGAAGGAGTCAGGGTCGATGCCGCTCTTTTGGAAACGCTCCATCTCGAGACGCTCCTCCTCAGCCTTGGCCTCACGCATGCGAGCCTCAGCAGCGCCGCGCTTGCGCTGGCGGATGAAGTACCACAGACCAAACGCAATGAGAGCGCAGCCAACACCAACACCAGATGCGTAGACGGCAG